ATCATGCTCAAGCCTTATCATCAATTTGCGTTGTACAAAACGTACGTATGCCCTCACATCAGGCTGAGAGTCTGGCCCAACTGCCAAGGCGAGATAGCCGGCAGGTGTGCTCTGACAGAAGGAGCTCGGACGAGGAGAAGGAGCAAGTGACGAACATCGCATATGAAGCTGCATGGAGAAGCTTCAGAGCAGGCCCCACGAATGGTATGGCACCCTATCATGTTGTACTCTGCCTCAACGCATGGACACATCTGAATTCGTTTACTCAATCATATTTCACTGACATCTTGACCTGCTCAATATCGACTTACATTAGCCTCCTACATTATTTGCGACTACGGCGAGCTTTCAGATTGCAGCTAAGATGCTTTCTCACCTCTATCTTTTGATATTGATAGTTGTAGTCATTTTCTGAAATTGCATTAGAAATTGTAAATGGCTCTATCATACATGGTCGGGTAAATGGCGTGCGGGGGGGGACTTGGTACACTTGGGTGTACGAGCCTGTATTTATGCAAACATTCACATTAGAAAGATTACCCTTATTAGATTGAACATGGCATTTGGTTGCCAAAAGAGGCTACTCATTTTTTTCATACATTGAAAATCGAAAATACATGCTATATTGTACATGTTAAATCATCGAACCTGCGACTGCCAACGAGTTTATATTATGCTTTGTCCAAACCTTTTATTAGATCCGAGTCACTGTCTAAGGACATTTAGGCACTTTCTCTTCAGTGCAATTACATAGTGTACGCTACTTCGCATTAGCACTCGCTGTTAAAGGACGCAGTGATTTCCTTGAGCGAAATGCCGTGGTGGTGGCCCAGTCTCCTAGTCCTGCTGCAGCGTCGAGGGAGGGCGTTAGGCACGCAGTGACCGATACCTTCGGCGATAACGGCACCGCGTCGTAGCCAAGCAGCTCTCGCCGCTCGTCGAGATGGAGGAGACTGTAACCACGCCAGCTATAGTTCAGCGTCGTTGACCATCGCCGGCGCCACCTCATTGGAGCCGCCAGAGAAGCGAACCTGCCGCGACACCTGTGGGGACTCCGAACGGTCGAGCTCGACGGCGAGAAGGTTATGCGGCCGGTCTACCGCGCGTTGTATGCCGCGGCGATGGGAGGCGCGGTAGTATGTCCGCTCTCTGGCGGCGTCACAGGGGGGGATGTGTTCTGCGAGGTTCTCTTCCTAATGTTTTTTAAATATTGAATGTTTAGAAACTAACTGCGTGCTGAGTGTGTTACAGTTGTTTCTTATAATCTAAAGTTTTTTTTACGTCGGCAAAAAATGGGATTTTAAAATCCGCGTTATTATTTTAATGGCAAATTGAAGATATAACGATTTTTTTATGGCCGCGTTCCTGGCGGTTCTTGTCAGTCGGCATCTTGCGATTTACAGACTATACAGGCCGGCGTATCGTGTCGCATTAGATGTATTCATCTCTTCCAAACATGGTGCGAAATTGAACGTGGAGGCGCAGACAGCGCTGAGCGGCAAGCTGAGAGACGAGCTGGAGGGGCCTATGGCGTAACCAACGGCACGCAGCGTGTGACAAAGCAAGCTGGCTGAGCTGGGAGACGACTGAAGCCTCTCTACGTGTAGAGATGTCAAACTTGAGAAGCTGTACGTGAAACGGGCTGAAATCGTTTCACTAAGAGAAAAGCCCGTTTTGGCTCCTGTACCGTATATTGGTTTGATCTGGTTACATTCTTGGATATCATTCGACAGTCATTTGCGAAACGAATGTTCAATGAAAACAAAACGTATTGGTCTTTACTACGTTTGGCGTATCGTAAATTTTATTCGCGTTGGATATGATGTAATATTTTCCATTACCTACCTGACTTAGGCTAAGCAGACACTTCGGTCTATACATTTGCTGTCAGGTCGTCAGTAAGCCCATATGTTCTGTAGTTGGCATGGCGGCTAGTTAACGATCTGTGATCTAAGGAGCGGCAGGGTCCCAGTGACAATATGTCCAGACTCGTTCTTTCTGCTACATTGCACCACTTAGTGATATAAACATATATTTTGCTGGGTATCTCAGCAGTAGTTCTGCTCTACAACTGGCTGTTGGTGACATATTATCAGAAGCTTTAATTAATTAGAGCTGGGTAAGATGTATATAGCCCTCTACCCCCCTTGCTCTTGACTCTGCACGATCGCATTTCATGCTTCGCTGACAGGCAAGTTGCCAGACGATCGCGACATTATTTCAACGGCAGCGCGATCCGAAAGCAATTGCAGGACGTCGCGAGGAGAGAAAGGTGGCACGGCCGGTGGGCTGACGTCGTGTCAGGCCAGACAGCTGCCTGGGAACAGTACAGTGTGCAGAGCGATTCGAGAAGACAGTGATCGGTAAGGCGTGGACTCTTTTCCAGCCAGTCTAAATATGAGAAACTGATGTTACTGCAGGCTTTACTTTAGTTCGTGTAGAAACGCTAAATTTTATTGAATTACGTATATGTTTATATCCTTTGCCTGGAGTTTTAGAGCTATTGTATCTATTCTAATACCTATTGCGATACTGTATAAATACATCGATACTATAGTATTGGGTGACTTGAGATATAGTATATACAGCTTTGGCACTACTATTGCATCTATCTAATCAGCATTTTTCTTGATAAAAAAGGCTGTATCATATTACATTTCCTTATTTTATATATCTGCAGTATAAGATTCTAATAATAGGAAGAAAAAAAAAAAAATATTAATAATTAATAATAATAATAATAATGTTGTGTGTGTTTTGTGTGTGATTACGGCAAGCTGCTCGATCAGCTGAGCGGTCGCTACGAACGTTCAGAGCTGAGCCGCTTCGCTACGGTGGTCTCGCAGCTGTTCATTTGAGGAGCAACCCGCTGCCTGAGTACGGTAGCTCGCATGCGGGAATCAAACTAATCAAGTTAGCAGGCCTTACTGCACAGATACTCAGGTACGTGGATCAACATCGTTACCAAACTAAATGTCTTGGTATATTTGGATTGCGTGCGTAGTGTGCATGTGCGTGCGTGCGGTCCTAAGCGTGGTGCAATGTGCTGTGCGTGCGTTGCGTGCGTGCCGTGTGTGCATGTGCGTGCGTGCGTGCGTGCGTGCTTAATGTGGCGTGCGCTTGCGCTGCGTGCGTGTGTGCGTGGTGTATTATATCATATCATAATCGTATAATATTATATTATTATGTAACCCGTACTTTTCCTCGTAGGCTAGAGGCAGAGGCTGGACCGAGAAAGGACCAGAGGCTTCTTCCAGCCTCGGCAGGAGTCGCCGCAGCAAGTCGACCTACCTGTCAAGGTGACCTTGCACGACGTCCGGCGGAGCTACGCCGGCGCCGCATCCGCTCGACAGCAGGAGCGATTCTCGCTCACCCTGCTCGCGATCGTTGAGGAGCGCGACCGAGGCGGAGGCGAGCCGCCGCGCCGCCGCCGAGCAGCCGCACCTGGCGGAGACGCGCGTCGCCGGAGCTGCGGCTGCAGCGGCGCGACTGCGGACCCTGCCTAAACTGGTCGGCGCTCATGAAGGACGCGCTGCCCGTCCGCGCGAGAAGGTCGTTCGAGTTGGCACGGCAAAGATCTGAGTGCGCTTCAAGCTGGTCACGACCTGCGGCAGCGGCCGCGTCGAGATCGAGAAGCTGAGGGAGCAGCGTACGGCAGCGTGCTGATGGCGTGCGCAGGAGGGGGGAGGAGGAGTGGAGAGGAGGGAGGTAGAGCGGGTGGCTGGGAGGAAGGAGGTGAGGGAGGCCGCGAGATAGAGGAAGCTGAGGGAGCAGGTACGCAGCGTGCATGAATGGGGTTGGTGAGAGGGGGATGGACGGGGTGGCAGGATGGCCGCGAGATCGAGAAGCGCTGAGGGAGCTTTGGTACGCAAGCGTGATGATGGGGTGGTGAGAGGGGGAGGAAGGTGGGAGGAGGACCGGTGGGTTGAGGAGGGGGAGGAGGGCCCGGTGGCAGGAGAGGGCCGCGAGATCGAGAAGCTGAGGGAGCTGGTACGCAGCGTGCATGATGGGGTGGTGAGAGGGGAGGAGGGGTGGCAGGAGGGCCGCGAGATCGAGAAGCTGAGGGAGCTGGTACTCGGTGTGTGCGGCATAACAACTAAGCCATTAAGTCTTATCAGGCTGCATCTTCATGGATCAAAAACTGGCTGGGCATGCGTGGAAGCTGAAATGAATGGTTGTGGACAAAAGTCAAAACTGGGTACTGCCAAAGGTATAAACAAATATGTGCAATGTTTGATACAACCAATATTCAAGGATTAATTGGTAATATTATTTGTTCGTTATGGCACCTATTAACTCAACTGTACGGTTTTCCGAACATCATTGTCCTGTTGATGTCCTACAGGAGTTGTCATTTCTTGGCAATCAGTGCAATAATGCATCAACTGGTGCAACGAATAGTCGAGCACAATTCTGAGGTTACACTTTTGGTTCTGGGGCATTCGCTTGCAATCACTCTGAATATCTTGTCAAGTGCACAGCAAATGTGACACAGTCTACCTCGTTTTACACGCAGCGTACCGATTGAAACAGTCCATCTTCAGTGATATCTTCAGACCACCATTACCTCTGGCTCACTAATCATATTCTGTTCTTTAAACTACTTGAGTGTTACTCTCCCTGGATGCTAGACTGTATATCTTCTAAGGCAGGTCGGCCTTCAAGATATTAGATGTATTTTACAGATATTAGATATAGTTTAGTATATATGACTTCCTTACAAATGTTACATATGCTTTATACGATATATGATCTGTTTACAGATATCCTTCCTAGAGGCATGCGTGAAAAGCCGTGAGGCGTCCATCACGAACCTGGAGGCTGACAATGTTAGACTCGCGCACAATCACGAGGAGAGACAGCTGGCGTGGGAGCACAGGGAGGTGGAGCTGGAGAGGGTCGTTGAGAGGCTGGAGAGACAGCAGGAGCTCATCGTCGGTGCCACCTCTCAGGTGCGTACAACCACGTCTCGCAGTGTGTGGGGTGGGTCAGCGGTGGAAGAAATCAACGTGTGATGTTATTGTGATGTGTGTGTGTGATGTGTTGTGATGTTATATGTGATGTGATTTTGAAAACGGCAATTGACTCTGTGACTTAATCCAATTTGTATACAGATTTTACAGGTGGCCATGAGTGTGCGTGAATGCGTGCGTGCGTGAGTGAGTGCGTTTATATTCATTATAATTTTGAGTATAACGGCAGAAATGCTACTACACGTGAACTCTTATGTTTGCGTAGTTTGAGGAAGCTGTTGGCAGTTTGCCAAACCCAGACCAGCCTGTGGCAAGCCAGCTCGAACAGGCTGTTACAACCATCAAAAGAAATGTTCACGTCATTTTGGAAACACAGAAGCAAGCAAAGATTATGAAGGAGGTATAAATTCTATTAAATCCGATACATGTAGTTAAACAGAAGAAACTGTTGCTCTCAGATAAAATTTTCATTTCTTTATCACTATAGTTAGTCTCAGTGGTCTTTTTTTCGTTATTGCACGTAGGTTTGTAAGTAATTAATGTATACCAGGCCAATTAAAACGTGTTGCAATGATGTGTGTGACAGAAAATTTGAACCTCGGATTTTGATTTCTGTTCAGGGTTTCAGTTGTTTTCTGTTAATATGCTATAGAGTCGTGTAGTATTTTAACAGTAGTTTTAAACTATTGCATCCCCCAGATTTTTCCTCTGTAAAAATAACAATTGTTACACGTATTTGTATTCGAATTAATTAATAATCAACGTAAGCATGCTATCTGGGTTGCAATGAAGAACTTTATATATATGTATATATAATTTTGTGTGTGTGTGCATGCATGTGGGTGTACTTAATACGTAAAGCGTCTAAGTCTGCCGTCTCTGTGAAGGAGAAGGAGGACCTGGAGAGGAGACTGCAGGAGGCTGAGCGGGGCATCCTCTCCCGCGACCGCGTCATCGCAGAGCTGCGTCTACGCATGCCAGCCTCCGCCGACAGGGACCGCCTCGTCGTCGAGGCAACGCGACGCTCGGCTGCACAGGCCGCGATGCCGGCGGCCGAATACGAGAGCAATCAGGGGCTGGCCATCGCCAAGGAGACGGTATCAAGCTTACAGGTAGGAAGTTGGCGGGTTCAGATGATGTGGAAAATAAACATGATAATGATATCATAATAATGTTAATGCAACCATAGTTTTATTACTGAAATTGTGTTGTATGTCAAATACATATATAATATAATATAATTTATACATATACATATGAATATTTACATATAATATATATATATCATATATGCATATGCCTGTGCAGTTTTTTTACATTGTTGAACATTCATTTATACCAAGAGAGGACATTACTTACAAGTATTATACTTTATTGCATGCACATATATGTTAATAAAGTCATGTTTATGTTTGTAATCGCGTCTGTGTTGTTGCATTAGTTTAAAAGTACATGTAAATTCTAAGTTATGTAATCTCTATGTTACGTTGTGCTATATGTTATGTCGCCTATATGTATATATACATATGTTAACATGTATATCATGTATATATTATGTATATATATGTATATGTAATCACGTGCGTTACGACGTTGCGTTGCAGACGCGTCTCTCGCACAAGGAGGAGACGGTTGTTAAGTACCAGGAGTTCCTGACGGTGGCGCGTGAGGAGATGAGGCAGCTGCGGCTGCGCCACGAGCAGCAGCTACGCGCGATGCAGCAGCAGCTGCAGCGGCAGCAGGAGCACGAGTTTGCACACTTCAAACAGGCGGCGATGGAGCTGATCAACAAACCCGGCACGACGGTGCCCACCAACAAGCAGGCGAGCGGAGGCGCGCTGCATGGAGTCGCCGCGGGGGGGGGGGATGGGGCTCAGCAAGAGCAGTCGTTGACGTCAGCACAAAACTCCACCAATTGTGGGCTGTTGCTAACTTGGGGCCTTGATAAGCCTAGTGCTGTGCTGAACTTTGGGGCCATGATAAGGCTTGTGGGCTTGAGATAAACTTGGGGCCGTGATACCGCCGTGGCTGTGCTTAACTTGGCGCGTGATAAGATTGTGGCTGTGCTATAACTTGGGCCGTGATAATCATTGTGGCTGTGCTAACTGGGGCGTGAATAGAGATGTGGCTGTGCTAAACTTGGGGCGCGGTGGAGTAAGAATTGGCCTGGCTGTGCTTACATCCTTCGGGCCGTCGAGTAAGATTGTGGCTGTGCTTAACTTGGAGCCGTGATAAGCTTGTGGACTGTGGCTAACCTGGGGCTGTGATGTAAGCTTGTGGCTGTCTAACTTGGGGACGATGATAAGCCTTGTAGCTGTTGGTCTGAACTTGGGGAACATGATAATATTGTGGCTGTGGCTTAACTTGGGTCCTGTGAAAGGCTTTGTAGCTGTGGCTAACTTGGCGGACATGCTTAAGATGTGTGCTGTGCTTAACTTGGCTGATGATTAAGCTTGTGCTGGCTGTGCTAGAACTTGGGGACAGTGATAAGCGCTTGTGGCTTGTGCTAAACTTGGGGCCTGATGAAGATGCGGCTGTTGGCGCTAAAACTTGGGGCGTGATAAGCTTGTGGCTGTGCTATACTTGGGCGTGATAAGGATTGTGGCTGTGCTAAACTTGGGGCCCGTGATAACGATGTGTGGCTGTGCTAACTTGGGGCGCGGTGATAAGGATTGTGGCTGTGCTTAAGCTTGGAGCCCGTGATAAGCCTTGTGACTGTGCTCAACCTGGGCTGTGATAAGCCTGTGTGGCTGTGCTAAACTTGGGACCATGATAAGCTTGTAGCTGTGCTCAACTTGGGACAGTGATAAAGCATTTGGTGTGCTTAAACTTGGGGGCTGTGAAAGCTTGGTAGCTGTGTAACTTGGAATGGATGAAGACTTGTAGCTGTGCTAAACTTGGGAATATAAGCTGTAGGCTGTGCTATAAGCTTGGGTCTCTTTTTGGATAGTTCTTGTGTTATTCCTGGTTTTTATATATCTTTTGGGCCTTGAATAAGCCTGGGCTTTGTGCAACTTGGGGCCGTGATCAGATTGTGGGCTGTGCTTAACTTGGGGCGTGATAAGCTTGTGGCTGTGCTAAAATCTGGGACATGATGTAGCCTTGTAGCTGTTCGGCGTAACTTGGGGACATGATAAGCGTTGTAGTGTGCTAAACTGGTGGTGGGCCTTTGATAACTGTGAGCCTGTGCGTTGAAACTTGTGGCGTTGGATAGCCTGTGCTGTGCTAAACTTGGCGCGCGGCCATTAAGCTTGTGCGCTTGTGTACACTTGGGCTTGATAAATCCTGAGTGCTGTGCTTAAACGTTGGGGCGGTGATAAGAGTTGTGGCTGTGCTGAAAGTCTGGCGGCCCGTTATAAGGATTGTGGGGCTGTGCCTAACTTTGGGCCGTCGATACCGCTTGTTGGCTGGGCTAAACTTGGGGCCGCATAAGCCTAGTGGCTGTGCTATAACTTGGGGCCGCCGATAGAGCTTGTGTCTGTGCTAGAACTTGGGGCGCTTGATAAGCCTGCTTTGTGGCTAAACGTTGGGGCCTGTGATAAGATTTGTGCTGTCTAAACTTGGGCCCGTCTATAAGACCTTGGTGGGCTGTGCTAACACTTGGCCCGTGACGTAAGCTGATGTTGGCTGCGCTAACTTCTGGGCCCGGTGATCAGATAAAAAGAAATAAGCAGCAACTAATTAATCGTCTTAATATAAATAAATTTATATTATTTAGAGATCGCGATTTCATTTCTGGCTATCTAACGTCGGTGCCGTTCCTGAATTTTTTCTGAAGGGTTGGCACGGCCTTTGAAAGAGTTTGGAGACATGGCGTGGGAACAGAGACAACGCGAATGGAGAGCTGGCAGAGAACTGCCGTTTCACTCACACCTCCGAGTGGACGCGTGGAAACGCCAACTAGAGCTACCGGTGAAGGAGAGACCGACGACCAGGGGAGGTTATGCTTGCTCACGTTTTGACAGATACATAGTAGCGAGACCAGATGAGAGACGAGGCGAGGAGAGAGAGAGAGGAGAGAGAGAGAGAGAGAGAGAGAGGGAGAAGAGAGAAGGAGAGAGAGAGAAGCAGAGAGGCCAATAGAGAGAGAGAGAAGAGAGAGAGAGAGAGAGCTAGAAAAACGGAAGAGAAGAGAGAGAGAGAGAAAGAGACTGTAAGAGTCAGAGTAGTAGCAGTAAAGCAACGATGTAATATAACTCTTAAAACCAGAGCATGCTTACTGTACAGCAGAATAATTAAATGTACTCGTGGCACACAGCAGTGAAATACACGCACACTACGTTCTGCACGAACTAGAGAGATGCGCCCGCATACACTCTCATGGATGGATGTGTAATAACATCATCTCTTCTCTCCCTTTCACATCTTCTCCCCCGCAGAGTGGAGGAGGAGCATCGGGCGGCAGAGAGCCGGCTGTGCGTGCGGGCGGAGGAAGTGGAGCGGCGGCTGCGGGAGAGCGTGGATGAGGCGGCGGCACTGCGCGCGCAGCTAGACGAGCAGCGGTCAGCTCTCACTCGCTCGCCTTCCTCCAGCATGAGACAGCTCGTCGAACGACTGAAGACACAACTCACCAGCAAGGAGAAGGAGTATCAGGTGAGCGTGTGTAGTGTTGGTACAACCCAGATAGCATGCTTACGTTGGGCCAACGTTGGCATTTGGTTGGCACGGTCACGGTTGGCAATATGACGTTGGGCCAACGTTGGCATTTGGTTGGCACGGTCACGGTTGGCAATATGACGTTGGGCCAACGTTGGCACGGTCATGGTTGGCATGTGGTTGGCAATATGACGTTGGGCCAACATTGGCGTATGGTTGGCATGGTCACGATTGGCAAATGGTTGGCTGCATGGCATTGGGCCAACGTTGGCGTATGGTTGGCACAATGCTATAGTATCGTGGGCAAAGAGGAAGAGTACAAGGTGAACGCGTGTTGCGTCATTATTTTGTGATCTACAATGTTCTCTCTACCACAGTCTGAGTAAAAATATATTATTACATTTCATATATTATTAGCATAAGTATGTAATAATTAAAAAATAACTCTCGCAGGCTCTCAGCAAAGCCCTCGCTGAACTGAGGTCTGACATGGTGCAGGCTGCGCAGCAGAATGTGCTGAGTCATGCTGCGACATCTGTAGACGCCACCAACGTACAGCGACTCGTCGACAAGCAGACGAAACAACTGAAGGTTGGTACTCGCAGGCGGTTATGCCGTAATGTCGGTTGCCGAGAGCGTTACCGCGCTGACAACGTTTGTAATAATATGGCTTTCTAGGTTAATTAAGTAGTTTAAGATGTGTTTTAGATGGGTTTTAATAAGTTGGAAGTTTGAATAAAACAGCCGGTTGGTTTTGTCTTGAGGTGACTTTTCTCTCCTATCGCATTACCCGGTCTTTCGGAAATAAGTCCGAAAACCCAACCCTTCCTGATTTTAAACATATTTATTTCTATTTCATAACCTATTGTAAAATGCATAAAAATTTGCATAAAATGCATAAGTCATGCTTAAAGGTTAGCAGTCTTGGGCTGGGGGATGACAGAGTGCTCTTTCTAAGACTACATTACTGATTAATGACAAGATATATGCAATGTTTGAGGCCCAGGGGGGTGGTCACTATATATGCCGTTATTACCCCATGTGCGTTCCAAATTTTGCGAGTTAGGGAGGTGTTTTTCAACTTCTAAAGCGGGCCCGCGCGGGAGCAAATAGGCCCCCCTTTACAAAGCTAATCCCGCAATAAGCCCTCGGGAACGTTCAAGTCAAGCACCACGCCCGCAGTATATAGGCCCCCCTCGTGACGAACCACATAGTACCTCGCCCCAGGCTCCGAACGAGCGGCCCCGTAGCACACGAAACTTAAACCCCACTACAACAATCATCGTGTCGATATTTTCATTGTGTATGCAATAGGGGGTGGTATATTCTTCAATTGTGTCTGCAATAGGGAGTAGGGTTTTCCAATGTGCAGTTCGCACTAGGTGGCCTATTATTTTTAGTGAGAATGCACATGGGGTAATGTTCTAATAGAGAGTGACCCCCCCGGGGTTTGAGGTAGAGCATACGCGCTTGTAATCGTGTCGCTTCTCAGATAGACATTACATAGTCCGAAATGTTTTTCCAACGGTAAACAGAAGAGCACCTTATTAATAGTTCGAAGTTTGAATTTGAAAACAGCTGGTTTGTTTAGGGCATCTTTTCGCTTTTGTTAAATTTTTTTGGGCTGTTATTGGGTTTTTGATCTTAAGCTAAACTGCCTCTTCAATCGCCAGCATTTTGTTTTGTGTGTTTGGGAGTCACTAGAGATCGGTCAGTAGTGCGTCGTTGGGCCGCGGCAGGTCGTTAATTCAAATTGCCGAATGACGCCGTGATTTCAGAGCAGAGTTGCCGAACTAGAGGGTCAGCTCGTGCGACTCAAGAAGGAACCGAGAAAAGCGAGAGATGGGATGGCGGAGGCGAGCGACTTCAAGCAGCAGTCACTGAGGAAGGACGACGTCATACAGCGGCTGAAAGTCGAGAAGACGCAACTGGAGGAAGAGATAGAAGCGCTGAAGCAAAAGGTATTCGGACATTTATGATATGTATATGTATGTATATGTTTATGATATATATATCTTGACAATATATGATATGCTATTATAGTGTATAATATAGGAGTGGTATGTGTATAATCGTATGAAAGTGTCGTGTAAAGTATATAATTGTTTTCAGCGGTTCAGTGTTTCTCAGCAACTTCTGACTCAAAGGGTAATTGAGTATTTACACTCAGCAATATATAACATGCTATCTTCAGAGCGATCAGCGCAGTGCTGCAGTGTTGCTTAACGTGTTCTTTGCATTCTGCTGATACGTTCTCTTTGCATTCTTGGCGTTCTCTTTGCATTCTATGAATCTTGTCGCAGGTTCAGAGGGTGGTCGCGCACAGAAACACTAGAACCGAGGGAGCGGAGTATCAGAACGAGGTGGGCGAGCTGAGGAGGAAGGTCTCACATCTAGAAGAGCAGTTACAGAAACAGAAGGCGGAGAAACCGCTCGAGCGCGAGCCGTTAAAGAAGGTACACCCTCACCCCTTCCCCCCCCCCCATGCCACCGTCATCGATGAAATACTCGTGATCTGTTTGCATTGATCATGAATTTATGGAAATGTTTTTGTGTGTGTGTGTGTTATGTTTCTCTGTATTTGTGTCTCCACGTTTGCTTGAATTGCTACATGTAACCCAGCTAGTGTCCACAGCCAACGTGTGTGTTAATATTAAACTTCAACTAACATCCCAGTGGATCATAGCACAGATATGGTCTCTGCCAGTGATGTCACGGTTATCTGTAATGAAGATATGACTTAAAACCATATGTATATATGTTTGTATATTAGAGGATACATACGTTCGTGCTAAAAATGGGATCCTTCATGTTTACTTCTATGTTGATAATTCCTGAAACTGGATTCGTAATGTAATTTGTCATCTGACATCCCAGTGAACTTTAACTTGGATATGACGTGACAATGATGTACTAGTGGCCTGTTACCCTACGTGTTACCCTTCAGCTGATAGGTCATACTGTGTCTGTCCACCATGTCCCCTGCCGTTCGAATTCTAGCCATGACCTCCGAGAATGACCTTTGACCTTTGATTTCAGGGTGCTGATGAGATCGTGCGCTGGGAGGAGAAGAAAAAGTGGCAGAAGGCAGTGGAACGACTGAAAGCAAAGATAACCGAGAAAGAGAAAGAGACGGAAAACCAACAACAGACTATAACGAGCCTTAAGGAGCATTTAACAAGGTATCGTGAGACCATAATAAAATGTTGTTTGTTTGCCCTCGCCCGACCAACCGGCCAAAAAGGGGCCGACTCAAAAAATTTGTGGGTCAGGTGAGGGCAAACAAAGATTTGTTTAATTGTGGCCTGACCCTGCACGTTGTAGCAATCCCAACCCTACCTTGATTGGAGTTGTTGAGAAGGTAAGTTTCACACCAACCATGCACCTATCGGATTTTCATTTGTGTTTTAGAGCCGAGCGGGTGAAAACTGCAGCTGACAAAGGCGTGAAATGGGCCAGCGCGCGCGATGAATCCATTCAGAAGTTAAAGAAAAATGTAGGTTTTTTTTATTCCCACCATGCCCACAGTTGACAACATATGCGATACGACAAATATATTACAACGTTTTGTTCAGATACGTACATCAGATTGTTAGTTGATATTGATAGGTTAGATTTGGGCTTAGAGTAGATAGATATTATCAGATTAGATAATAATAACGTCACGTAGGTGACTCACTGCCGTGTGAGGTCATGTAAGGACAGGTTTTGTTAAGGTGAAACCTAGAGACTGATGCTATATGTTCGGCGTTTGTCACGCTTGGGTGACGGTAGACCTGTAACAGGTTGCGCTCTGTAAATCTATCAATTCAGTTGTTCGATGTGGAAGAGGAGAACGCTGCCCTGAAGCGGAAGGCGGTGCCAGAAGATGGCGCCACTGTGCAGCATCTAGAGATGGCGAATAAATCTCTCGTGGAGAGGTTGCAGGAAGTGGAGAGACAGCTGCATCGACCTGAGGCTAGGGTATGAAGTCATTCTGATGCATGACGCCCACATTATCCTGTTTGCAATGTTGTATCTCATTATTATGCTCATTCGATGGAGTATACTGAAGGTTGGGAAAGGTTCCGGATACTCACATGAAACTGTAAAATTAAGATGTACATATAAATGAAGCAATTCCAGCACTGGTCAACCTCTCAATGTTGGTAAATTTTTTTGTTTGATCGGTGAAGTATATGGAAGGTTAGGAAAGATTCGAGGGTAGTGGATACTTGCACAAAATCTCCAGATGTACGCGTAACAGAAGCGACAAAATCTCGATGAATTCTGCGGAGAAAACATAAGCCTTTGCACGCGTAGTGTGATCAATCAATGATTTCCGCTTGTGTACTCGACGGCTCTCTCTCTAACCGAACTCTACGATGTCGCGCAGCTCGCCACGCCAGGCTCAGAGTCGGCTCTCTTCGCCGAGATGCAGGAGCGAGAAGCCAAGCTGCAGAAGAAGATTCTCAGGCTGACACGCGAGGTCGCCGACTTGACGTGCGAGGCCGAGCAAGCGAAGACCGACGTGCCACGGCTGCAGGTGTGGTGAGCGCGAGAGCGCCCCCCCCCTTGCTGCGCGCATACCCCCGCTGCGCCGCCCGCGCCCGTCTGTGCCCCCTTCCCGCCGCGCAAGCCTTCCCCTCTCCGCCGCATGCTCCCCTTCCTGCACGTTCCCGCGTACTCGCTCCCCTCCATGCCGTTACAGACGTCACCAAGAGATGCCCGTGTAGTTGACAAGTATATTGCGTGCGCTGCTTGTCGTATTCGTTGCAATCCTATACGGTCCGGGGTCCCGGGCATTAGAATCTGTAGTATGGTGTCTCACCTCTAATGATAATGGCTTAATTTAAATTATCGTGTTATTTTTGTATATTTTGCGACATTACGTGATTGCGAACCTCGTTCTCAAAGCTGTCTGCTTATGTGTTTGAGGCAGTAATTCAGTTGCAGTGATTGGCATTTTCATTCGTTCACTGACACCAAATTATTCCGTGTTCAAAACCATGTCCCGTTATCTCCTCTAAAAAAACCTATTAGTAGTATAAAATAGATAAAATATTGATTGTAGCAACTGTTGCATCATCTCTGCAGGGGAGAGTTAAGGACTTGGAGCACTATGTTGAAGTGTTGAAGAGTGAGCAGGGAGAGAGAGCACCCTCTGCAGCCTCATCACAGTCTGCAAGCAATCTGAAACGAGTAAGCATGATTGGTTCTTTGGGGTTGCACTCTAGTCAAAAATAATAATTACTCACATTAAGAAGCAGAGCATGCAAGAGGATAGAGAGAGAGAGAGAGAGAGAGAGAGAGAGAGAGAGAGAGAGAGAGAGAGAGAGATAGAGGGAAATAGAGAAAGAGAAGAGGGAGTAGAGTGAGAGAGAGAGAGAGACGGAGAGACGGAGATAGAGAGAGAGAGAGGGGTGGAGAGAGATAGTGTGAGAAGCAGTGTGGTAGAGAGAATGATAGAGGTTTGCTATAGCCAATACAACCAGGGGGTGTCACTCTCTGTACATTTCCCCTGGTGTTGATTCATTGTTATCGATTGCCATTGCTTCATGTTGCAATTTCAATCTTCATCGATGAGTTCATTCACTATGCGTTCTCCGCAGATCGGCATGAGTGGCAAGAGTGCAGTAGAGTTGGAGAAGACTATTAGCCTTATGAAGAAGGTAATAGAGCGTCTGCAGGCAGAGAACGAGGTGCTGAAGAAATCCTCCCAGACGAACCAGCAGTTGGATGCCCTGCGCAAGGAGAAAGTCCTGAGGGTGGGTGACGATGGTCAAGAGATTTGAGGGGTTTTAATTATTGCAAAAAGATTTACTTGGTATCGAGTGGTGCAATTCGTGCAGACAATGGTTGTAGGTACTTTTCGTGTATAACTTACTGTTTTGGTAACCATAAGATGTTAATGTGAATTTGTATAAAAAATATAAATGGTCTTTTCAAATAGCCTATTGATGTATGTTCTGGAGCTTGGTAAAGCTTCGTTTAATCTGCATTGAAGCATAAATTGACGTAGTATTTGTGCTCGTGCTGTAACTATAATGTATGTGTATAGTTAACGTGTATGTGTACATTTAAATTCTGCTTTAGAAGGTATGAACTGTGTGTACAGAAGTTAGCCATGCTATTCCTAGATAGCGATATGTGCTTGTAATTATTATTGATTTGATTTATTACGATTGTAGATTGCAGTTTTATGCTATTACTGCTTGATTTTACAGGAGCGATTGCAATCGAATGTGGATGCTACAGAGCAAGCTGTTGCTAAATTAACTTTAGAAAATGACAGACTCCAGCGAGATTTAAAGAAGGTATGCGTCAATTTTAGTATAAAAAATGAGATGGATTTTTTGTTGATATGCAGTTAGGCTAGCAATTCTAGTAGGTAGTACTTGTATTAATATATTGAAATAATCTCTTGCAGCAACATTTTATTGTACAGTATGAGAAATCATATCGATCATGAATACATTTATGCATTGTATATACATATATATTATATATATATATACATAAATTTTTAAATGTAACAATTTTTTATCTACGTGTGCTTTCCTTCTCACAGGAAGTAGAAGTGAATCAGAGCTTGCGCATTGAACTTGGAAGTCTACAGGTGACTAACAACGAACTAGAGCGTAGTCTGCTCGAACTTGAAACAAAGGTTCCAGCTAAGCCAGTGCGAATGTCTGTTGCCTCGCGTATGATGGAGGAGAGAGTCTCACAACTTGAAAGTGCTCTTAAAATGAAGGTGACCAATGTATCCCTCACAAATGGCTTTTAAAACGCACTTTTTAAGACAACAGCACCATAAATGTATATTTATGCTATATAGATTAGCGTATAGATATGCTCATGGTGGCACACATCGCTATCTACCAGATTTATTTTACTCTAATGGTAATGAGTTCAGTGGCAGTTAACCTTGCTAAAGGTCGTCTAGGCATGAAATAGGATTCGTTTGACATTGTGTCTTATTTTGCAATACGGTTATACTATGTTGGAAATCTACAGCAGGATCTGGCAAATATTGTATATGTGCAAAGTACTTTATAGTTGTTGCTTATAATCGAATATAGGATGTAATTGCTCATCCGACAGTTTTGTATATAGTGTAAAAAATCTTCTATACCTTATCATTATGCACCTCACGTATCGTCACATGTGTGGGATGTTTTACAGCTTTGTATGTGCCTATGTCATGCATACTTCTGTGTGGTGGTCCTTTTCTCTTCTAATATTCAGTGTCGAAACAACAGTTTCTAGTAGGTAAATCTTTATCTATCATCTCGTGGTCTGTGCAGAGCGAGCAGTTGTCGAGACTGCAGGAAAACAACAGGCAGCGCAGAGAGGAGGCTGGCTGGGATGAGCAGACGCCGAAAAATAGCGCCGTCTATAGGAGCATGATGAATGAAAACATTGACCTGAAGGTGGCACTGAGGAGTGCGCAGCAGGAGAATGAGCAGCTCAGAAGTGACAGCTCCAAGGTAAATGCTACACTTGTCCATACAATCATCGCCATCTAGTGAGTAACTTCTGCATTTACAGCCTGTACGAATAATAAGGTTTTGGATCGAATAATCTTCCAACTAATGTGCATCCTTCTGCCAATCTTATTGAGAGCTACCTTCTTTACGAAGTGGTTTCTTATTAGTATTATTATTGGTAGTGGTGGTAGTGGCAGTGATAGTAGTGGTAGTGGCAGTGGCAGTAGCAGTAGCAGTAGTAGTGTTATCAAAATGTAAACTGTTTAATAAGGGAGGGCCAGGATATCTCAGATATTACCTGCTATGAATTAGTAATTTTATTAGCAATGTCTAGAAAACTATCCAGACATATGTGTGTGTGTGCGCGTGTGTGTGTGTGTGCGTGCGTGCGTGCGTGCGTGCGTGCGTGCGTGTGTGTGTGAGGGAGAGAGAGAGAGAACCAAAGAGGGAGTGTATGTGTCAGAGAGAGAGAGAGAGAGAGAGAGAGAGAGAGAGAGAGAGAGAGAGAGAGAG